GAATAAATATAAGTAAAAATTATAATTGCTTACAGTAAAATATTTTTGTTCTCTTAATTCTAATTGTTCTTTTGACATATTGAAATTCCAAGGTGGTCGTTTTGGCATATTAATTTCAGGTGGAAAATAATTATTAGAAATTTCTTGATCTTTAAGAGATAAAGCTTCAATAGCATTTCTAGCTTGTTCTTTTCGTTTTAATAGTTCTTCTTTACTTTCATGGAAAAATTGTAAAGTATATCTATTTTTAGAAGAATTATTATCTTTTGGCTGTTTATTAATTTTTTGTATAGCATTATTTTCAAAACCACTATAATGATTTATTTTGTCTTCATTGGATGTATTATAATTTTCTGTTGCTAATTGTACATAATATAAAATAAATTATTTTCGAGAAATATAAATAAAAATATAAAATATATAAATATATATTATTTAAGTTATTATATTAGTTAACTTTATATTATATATACCAAATAAAGTCGAAGATTGTCGTTGTTTTTTGGCTTGTAGTTGTTGTTTTTTAGCTTTACCACTAAATGGTTTTTTTCTTGTTCCTTGCGGCATTTTTTAATGATCTTAACCTCTCAATTAATTTCTTTATTTTTGTATGAAATTATAACATATTTTTTAATTAGCACATCTTGAATTTATCAAATTTAGGATATTAAGACTTTAAAACACTTATTTTAGAAATAATATTTTAAATTTTTTAAATATTTATAACCGAAAATAATTTGTTACGTACATTTCTTATGAATATAATACATTCTAATGGATATAATACATTTATATATATAATATGCAGTAATACCAAATTTGATTGAGACAGATAAACTATATTACAGTATTCCTAAAATTTGATTTCGAAATTTATAAAAAAGAAACATTAATTTGTATTACGAATTTAAATTTAATATAATAATAATATAATAAAATATAAATTTAATGTAAATAATTTAAATGTAATTTAAATGTAAGATCATTTATTTTTTATGTATTATTAAAAAATCAATAATTATTTAAAATTTTAAATTTATTTATTATTTAAAAATTTAATATTTATTTATAATAAAATAATAACAATTTTAATAAATTATGTTAATACACAAAATATTAAATTACATTATTATATTATAAAGTTAAGAAGGTAATTCTATTTTCAATATTCTATATTCTATATTTTTTTAATTAAAAATTAAAATACATTGCAGTTTTGAAAAAAAAATGAAAATATTTTCAATTTCTAATACTTTTGTGATTACGCGCCAAAAACAAGTATAGAATTAGAGGAAGAAATAATAGAAATAAATAAAAGAAATAAAAATAATAAAAAATAATAGAAAATAAATAGAGGATTGAGATTGGAGATTATAAAAATTTAGGAGTTAGCGCTATCTCGAGAATGCTGCACATGAAAAAAAAATAGCAAATAATAAAGGAAGATAGAGTATGAATTTATTTTCAATGCCATTTTTTGAATATCAAAGGCAAACTAGAATAGAAAATTAAAAGTATAATAGTACCATTTCTTGAGTGATCTTAAAATGATTAATGTTGGAATTTATAAGATGGTATTAATAGTCAATTTTTATTTATTTCTATTTTTTTTTCATTGTTTGCTATATTATCTTCATATGTTTCATTCTAAAATTGGCGCGGGTTTTTTAATTTTTATCTTATTTTTATATCTTTTTCCAATTATTTGTCTTTCTTTGCTTTCTTTTTTTATTTGCTCTCTTCTATACTTGCTGTACAAGATTTATGCACCTAAGAAACGACTTTGATTCTAATTAATTTCATTTCTTTTTTTAATATATTGATTAAAAATTTTAATAATTTTAAAAGTAACGTTTTCAAATTATTTATAAATAATATTTTTATAAAAAAAAATCATAAATTAATATTATTTTTTATCTTATATTGTAATAAAGAATATAATTTTTAATTCATAAATAATACAATTTATATGACTATATCATAAGTTTATCTATTTGTAACTAAAAGATCTATAAATACAATCCAAACATAAAAATATCTATGATAGAATATAATTAAAGAAATTATTTTTAAAATTTGTTGACTTTAGCAGTTTTTGTATTAATTAAGTTCCTATAATTATAGAAATTATTAAATACATTTTCTGCATGATTAGTATTTCAAAACATGAATATAGGATACAAAGTGAAATCATTAAATATTAGGTTAAGTTTATCTTATATTATGTCTGTAATAGTGATAAAATATTTTTGACTTATTGTTGGTACTTTACATTTGTATATTTATTTAACATATAATAACTTAGTCTTTTCTTTAATATATTTAATATTCATTTTTTCTATATAATTTATTAGTTTAATATAAATTCCGTGATAAAACATGAATAATAATAAAATTATTGTGTAATAAAATTAGAAATTTAAATATAACCTCCATATAATCAATAACAATTATTTTTTGATATGTATATTAATTTAAAAAATTCATTGCCAAATTTTTCTATTAATATTTTAAAAAATATTATAAGAAAATGTACAAGTTTGACTCTAAATGAAACAGAAAATGCAATTTATCCATCTATATTGGATTTATCCTACAAAGCTAAAATTAAAAGAAAAAATGAAGAATGGCACAATAAAATTAAAAAATTAGAAACTGTAGAGGAAAAGTTAATAGGAATTAATATGCCACGTTATTATGGTTGGAAATCATTAAATTTAATGGAAGGAATTATACCGTATAATTCATTACAACATGCTCAATATATTACACATACTCATGTTATAAACAATAATAAATTACCTGAATTTTATGATACAGTAATTACACCTGAAAAAATAAATACTTTAGTACAAATTATTAAACAAAATATAGAAAATATTATCATTTTTGAATATAGTCATAGATTGTAAGTATAAATTATTAAAATAATAATAAGAATAATTGTAATAACTTATAATAATAAGAATAATTTTTTTTTAATATAACATTATTTTATTAATAAAGTTATTTATAAAGTTAAAAATATCTATATTAAAATTATTTGTAAAATTAATTTGGTAAATTCATGTTATAGAAAAAAACAAGAAATAACAGAGGAAATAGATACAGAAAAAGAAAAATTATTGCAAAATGCTATTACAAAATCACTTGTTTTTCAAATCAATCGAATAATATTAGCTGTTCTGTCTTCAACTACACCACATTTATTAGAAACTGAAATAGATTTTGAACCAAGAGTGGAGGCATTTTGGTTTGCAGGTGGTATAGAACATCAGCATTTATCTAAAATACCACTAATGAAGTCAGAATTTCAAAAAGAACGTCTACGTGATGCAGTTACTATACCTGTCCAATACTTTGGTTCTCCAATCTTACAATTAAGACACCAATTTCCTTTAAGAGAGATTTTTTCTCTAAATCAGTCTTTGAATCCAGAATTACTTATTCCTGAATTCAAATTTAATCCTAGAGTTCTAGGTTATAAATTTGCATATAAACATGCAACTTGTATACCTGGTTTTTGGCCTGGTGATCCTTCTGAATTTGGTTTATTATCATATCATAATTTAAATAATATGACTTTTAATTCTTTACCTTTAAGTGAAGAAGCAATTACTGTACAAGCTATCTTTGCATCTTATAGTTGGTTGTTATCACAAGCTTGTTATCAAGGTCAATTAGCTTAAGTAAAAAATTATTTTTATATAACTGTAATTTTATTATAACTATTTTAACAAACAAATATATATTCTATGATTTTTTTTTTAATTTTTAGGTTTTTCAACAGTTAATGATATAACATATCCATTAGTATCACAAACAATTTTAACAAATGGTCAATACTGGTCATTTTGTGTTTATCAATTGAATACTACATTAGTTCATTCAGAACATGCAGATAATAATCTTACACGTAATATATGTTGGATAACACAACCAATAATGTTGTTTGATAAAGTGGAAAATGGAAAAATTTATGGATTTAATGAAGATGTTTTAAAACAATTAATCACATTTTATATGAATGCACCTGTAAAAAAAAATGAAAACATGAAACCATATTTAGATGATTCTGTAAAGTATCTTGCTGATATTACTGATATTGAGCGAAGAATATGGCTAGAAAAATTATTTAAATACTTAATGTCAAATAGACCAAGACATTTGTAAGTATTTAAATATATGAATATTTAACTACATTAATCAATTTTATAAAAATTTAAGATTAATTATATATATCATTATATAAAATACCACTCGTCATATAATACATACTGATTTCTTTTTTATTCTTATAGCAAAATACCTGAAATGTATCATTGGCAAAAAATTTATTTAGTTGATAATAAAACTCGTCCTTTGGACAAGAAACGTGATCCATGGGAATTTGGTTATAATCCTTACAAGCGAAGATTAGATGATCATAAACCAGTTTATGTTCCAAAATGTTTAAGAGAAAATCCCAAAAAGAAAAAAATAGGCCGCTGGGCAAAATCATATTATCCAGATGCTTAAAATGTTAGATTTTATATTTACATAAATATTGTTAATGAAAACATTTGTAATTATTTATCAATACATAAATTAAATTTTAATCAATTTGATTATTTTCTTTTTAATACCTATATGTAGTTATAACTTGAATATCATATAAGCTAAAGATATAACATTGTTAAAATAATTTTAAAATGAATTCGTTAATGATATATATTTAATTCTTTAAAATCATTTTCTCTTTCTTAATACATAATAATATAACATTAATTAAACAAAATATAAAGTTAAGATAGATTATTTTATTTTATATATAAAATATTCTAAATACAATTTAAAAGAAATTATTTTTTTTTTTTTATTTTTTTACAATAATCTTATAAGATATCTAATTTATTATTTAAATTCTTATATAAAAATTTGATATAAGAATATATGAAAGCATTTGTGCTTATAAAATATTTTTATTTATTTTATTTCTCTTTGATTTTTATTCTTGTTACTTTAATCGTGATTAGATTAAAGTAATATTCAAGAAATTTTTATTATTTATATTTTAAAGTGTTCATAGACTGCGGAGATAATTCCAAGCAAAGTTTACTATCTTTTTGCAAATCCTTTAGAATTATATGTTTTGTAGAAGTGGCCCTAAAAAATAAAAAACTAATAAAATATCAATAGCTACGACTGCAAAAAAAAAATTTATAATTAAAATAAGTATTTCATTATTTTATATTCTATAATTATGCAATAGAAAAATAAATTTTTTGTTACCCATTGTATAATACAATAACCGTTTCTCCCGAAGGTGTAAGAAAGGCTGTAGAGTTGACCGAATTATTACCAGTAATAGAAATTCGGAAAGAATCTCTATCAACGAATCTGCTAACGTGTTTGATAGCATAATATAAAGGTTGTTTATAAAATTCATCGGTTTCTGGATTCACGATAATAGGAGCGTCGAGATTGTTATTAACAACGGTTGGTCCACCAGTTTTATCCAAAACCATATTCCAATCTACCCATCCAACTGACCAATGATTCATGTACTTAACATAAAATACTTTAATAATTAACAATTTTTCAAACAATCAATTTTCAAGAAATTTTTAATAAAATTATAATAAAATTCTCTCACATCTATTATGCTTAAAATGTATTTTTCGCCTCTCTGCCATGCTTCTGATTTAAGTTTACTGCTAGAGTTCCATACTGAATTAACTATACGATTAAAAAAAAATAAGGCAATTAAAAATTTCTCTATATATTTGTTTTATAATTATAGATAATTATTCCTTTATTTGAGCGTGAGAACTTACATATGGATGCTTCGGTCATAAGAATAAATTTGTCAGGAAATTTCTCATGTACGCGATCTATGATAGTTGCAGGATAAATAAAATCTAGATACCAATGTACACCTATTCCAGCAATATATTTTCCTCCAATTTCAATCGCTGCTTTGACATATTCGATTAGTTTACTTCTGTTATCATCGTAGGTTAAAAGTAACGTTTTATTGAATAGTGATGATGCCAAAGTCGGACCGAAATAGTTAGCAATCCAATTGGCCTGTGTTTTGGGTATCCATGTCATAGTAATATTTGGATTATCGATCATAAAACCGAGTAACGGTTCATTGCTAGGTGTAATTCCCCATATATTAACACCGTTTCTTTCATATTTATCCAGAAATTTAATCAAGTAATTAACGTAGGTTTCATAGTATTCTTCTTTTAAATAAGCTAATCAATAATTATAAAATTTATTATAATAAATTTATTATAATAAATTTATATAAATGTTAATTAAATAAAGAAAGAAAAAAGAAGAATTTGTTCTATCGCTTTTTTTTTTAACTTTCTAAACTTTCACTTCAAGATGTTACTATCGTACATACTGATATTCTTGTCGAATTGTTTCATCCATAACGGAGCAGTCCATGCGGCGGCGAACAATAGCACTTCAGGATTTAATTCAACAGCCAATTTTATATATGGTATCTTGTAATTGTAATCTTCCGGTGCAAGGGAAAAGTTTTTTAACAAAGTATCACCGGGAACATCATCGTACGTGTAAATCCTCGTAGAGAAATCGGTGCAACCAATAGGTATACGACCCAATGTATATCTGCTTCCTTTTTTCGGATCGTAATACGCTCTAAACAATTCAAAAATTGCGTATTTTAAGTAATAAATTATCGTGCATTTCTGTTAACCTTTTAGGCAGAGATCGAATTACCGAATCAGTTGATCCTGAGTAGCTCGACTGAGTTTCGCTATGTTTATACCAGTGGCATCGGTAAATGCGCCCCCAAATCCAATTATCTTTTGATACTTTTTCTTACTGTCTATAATAATTGTTATATTCGCGTCGAAGTTCTCACAATTGTCAAACTTTACTTCTGACATCTTCATTCGCAGCCCTTGCTTATTTGACACGTACCAATAGGAATTACCTTCCGTAGGTACTTCCGGATTATCATCCGGTATACCGTCGCAATATGTCGCATTGCAGACACACGCGATTATTTCGTCATCCACACGGTAAGGCGCACAATCGTTTGCAATACCTATAATTAATTGAAACAATTGTAATTTAATTTAATTAATCGTTTGAAAAATTAATTTAGTAAATAATGTATATATCGGTTGGATGCAAGAAGGATGATCCCAGGACGACTCGGACTTACTCAATATATTGGCTCAATAAATTTTTATTTTTCTAAAGATATAAAGATGATTGTTAACGAGGCTTTTTTTACATTTAGACAGTATAATTGAATTATATTCGACTCACTTTTTCTGAAGAAAAAAGAAATTAGAAGTAGAAATGTAGTCCAGACGTGTTTCGTATTCATTGCTAAAAATTTGAACAGATTTATGAGGGAAGAAGTGTGACTGATATGTAATTATCTAGACGTTTTCTTTTATATTTTTCCGAATAAAAATAAAGTAAAACTGACATACCATTCATATAAATGATATATTATCTGTATTTGTATGTTGTCTATTATTTCTTATCTTTATAATAATGTTTGTTATATGAAATAGATATAGAAATTTATCAATATTAATAACGAATTAATAAAGTACTATTTGTTTTATAATTAAAAATATTTTTATAATATTTTTATAATATTATACAAAGTCTGGAATTATATTTATATAGCTCGATGAAACGAAGATAATATAAGATATAACACAATGTACAAATAACAAGTGTAATTAATTTAAAAAAAAAATTAAAAAATTTATCCTAGAATTAGAAGAATTAAATAAATTTTTTAAAGCATATATCTCCGTAATTTATTTCAAATATTATTATTTACAAGTATATTTCTTTTTTTTTTTATTTCAATTTATCATTTAGGATTAATTTTTTTCAAAAACTGACACATTTCTAATGTAAATTGAGCAGTTATCTCTATTCTTTTAATGATGTTCAAAATATTTGCAAAAAATCAATGAAAAAGAAAAAAAAAATTGACGCAAACAAAGAATATATTAAAATTAATTTGCGATAAAAAATATTGAATTGTATGTATAATTTTGAAATGTTAAAAATTATTTATCGAAACAAAATACGCAAAAAAGCCTTTTTTTTATATTTTTAATATATATAATAAATGAAATTACTATGACCATAAAATGCAAGATATATTTAAATATATGATACTTGAATCATTTATTCTTACTACTTACAGGAAAGCATTGAATTCTCGATTCTCGAAAAATGTTAACTTCATAAACATCGAGCTTATATACCACGCAAATTTTTCTGTTTTTGTTTTTTCTTTTTTAAAAGTAATTATTAAAACATGCAACGATACCTAACATATTCATTTACTCAATTGATCGATATCTTAATCGATAGAAACAACACAAATAAACTTTTAAATTTGTGCTTTGAATCGTGCTGATAATTATAGAATGAAAAGTAAGAATAGAAAAGAATAGAATTATTGAATAGAAAATTCAAAGATCGTTGTCACAAATTATTGCAGAGAGCGAATTATAGACAATATTTGCAGACGAATATTTATCTGTATCAGTACGAATCTGCAAATTGTTTTAACAAAAAAAATTATGGCAAATTACTTATATGCACCTTAATGTGTATATATCGTAATCGTTGGAATATTTTCATGATATATATTTAATGATATACAATTAAATATATTGTTTGAATATTATCATTATTTACTAGAACAAAGTTTTATTTCAGCTAATTTATTTTATTTTAATATAAACATAATAATAATACATCTTCTCATTTATTATTTATAATACGATATAATTTTATTTTACATTTTTAACATAATAGAATTTAATAATATATTTCATTTCAAACGAGCATTCTATCTGTTGTAAATTACAGTATTCATAGAATGTGGGGGTAATTCCAAACAAATATAATTTTTAGTTGCCACATCGTTTAGAACCACATTTGTTTTTTCATTATTGCTGAAAAGCAAGATAATTGTTATAAATATGATACACACTCTTGTGTCGATTGTAAATAATTGAAAATAAATTCTTATTTACTCGTTATACGCAACAACCACAATTTCGTTCGAGGGTGTTACAAAGGCTGCGGCGTTAATTTCAATCGTATTGGTGATGAAAACCCTGACCGACCCTCTGTCGACGAATCTGCTGTAGTGTTTAAGAGCGTAATACATTGGCTGTTTATAAAATTCATCATTTTCCGGATTTACAATAATGGGCGAATCGACGTTATTATTGATGTAGTTTGGTCCACCATTTTTGTTCAAAACTAAATTCCAATCCACCCATCCAACTCCCCAATGATTCATATACTTAAAAATAGATTATATTTTTTATAAGTAAAAATTGTTTATATTAAAACTAGTATAATAATATCCTCTCTCTCTTAAAAAATGTTCATCATTGTAACTACTTAATCACTTTACCTGCGTTATACTTAATATATATCTTTTTCCTCTTTCCCATGATCCCAACACAACCTTTTTTTCCAATGGAAAAGATCCTGTACAAAAATATTTTTTATGAGAGAAAGTACATACAACTTTTGATTATATAGACTTAATTACTTTGAGATCAATTTGCATTTTTTTTTTGTATACTTATTCGAATTTTTTAATAATTAATTAAATTAATTAAATTGATTAAAGTAATTTATGAATATATATCTTACCTTCACATGCTTCGGTCAGCAAAATTTTTTTATCAGGAAAATTATTGTGCGTTTCATCTAATACTATCGGTGGAATCAATATATCCGTGTACCAATGTACAGCTATTCCGTAAACATAATTTTTCGCAATTTCATTTTTAAAGATTTTGTCGACGAACCAAGGTAATCCTATTCTTTGATCGTCGAAAACGAAAATTCGTGTGCCATTATGTTCAGAATTTGCTAAAGTTGGACCTAAGTTGTTAGCGATCCAATCGCCAACCAGCTCTGGTGTCCATCCCATGCTGTTAAGACGCTCAAAAGGAACATAGACATCGAATGGCTCGTTTCCAGTTGAAACACCCCATATATCTATTCCATTTTTTTTATATTCATCTAAGAATTTTACTATGTAATTGGCAAAAGTCTGATAATATTCGGACTTTAAGAAACCTGTGTTTCAAATGAAAGTTTCAAGTTGTATTTAGCGTTCGAAAAACTTATTCAAAACGTGATATTTATCTTAGAAAAAAAAGGATATATATATATATATACTTTGTTAACTTACCAAATCCATTGATTCTATGATTAGTTTTCATCCATTTCGGGGCCGACCACGCAGCGCTAAAGAATATTAAATCGGGATTCAATTCGACAGCTTTCCTCGCGTACGGTATCTTATACTCGATATCTTCAGGAGCAAGCGCGAAATGTTGCAACGTCGCATCACCATCGTGATCGTCCAATGTATAGGCTCTCGTAGAGAAGTCACTTCCTCCTATTGGTATACGGCCTAATGTATATTTACTTCCACTTTTCGGATCGAAATACGCCCTATAGAATAGGTTAAATACAGGTCTCGTTACTCGTCGTACACTTTATTTTTATTTTATTGTATATTTATCGTTCATACAACCAATTTAATTTTATTCAAATCGAATAAGTGATGATATTTCACTATCGATCCGTTGTATTACCTGATTAATTGATCCTGAGTAGCCTCGCTCAGATTTCTGATATTTATTCCCGTCGAGTCGGTAAAAGCACCACCAAAACCGAGGATCGTTTGATACCTCTTCGAGGTATTGATGTTCAGAGTTACAGATTCATCATCGTTTTGACAATGGCCGATCTTTCCTTTTGACAAGCTCAATCTGAGGCCATCTCTGCTCGATACGTACCAGTGAAAAGTACCTTTCTCTGGACTCTTCGGCTCTGGTTCCGGCGTGCTGTCGCAGTAAGTTGAGTTGCAAACGCATACGATATTATCCGTCCCGAAACTTCGTGGCACGCAGTCGTTTGCAACACCTGTTGCGGTTCATATTGCGATGAATATATTTTAAATATTTACGCGCATTTTAATCGGGAGATTTTTTTTTTTTTATATAATTTTGTTAATTTTTTGATTTCTAACGATTGATTGAAATCACAAGGGAAGGGAGAGGGGAGGGGGATATTTTAAGAAATTATATTGTAAAATTGATTGAGTATTTACTTTTATCCGTTGCAGCGGACAGGATTACGATCAACAACGCTACCTTCCACATAATTTTCCGATTTCTGAAACAAAGAATTCGTAATAATTTTCGAATTTGAGATGTATCCAGATTTATTATAGAATCGATATACGAGGATGAATGTGTGAATTGATTAGAAAAGAAATAGATTCGAGGAAAGAATTGGAAAACATTGAGTTTCTTTCATTTTTTTTTTTTTTCTTGCATTCTGCATATCATCGTTGACGATAAATATAGATATGAGAAACATAAGAACACTTTTGAAGAATGTAGAAAAAAAACACAAGAAAAAAGTTGATTGAAAATAAAAAATTGCATATTCATAGGAAGTTGTCTTGCATATTTTGAATATTATTTACATTACACTCTTCCTTATATATATATATATATATTGTTCGTGACTTATAAAAAAACTTTTTTCCTGCGAAAAAAATCGATTTTATACAGACACGATATATTGATCAAAAATGTTATATCTACAAATAAAGTCATGTAATAGATATATATCAAATAAAAGAAGTTGAATGTTTACTTTCGTTGGACTTCTTGCCAGACTCAAATACAATATTTATAATAACAGATAGCAAATAAACTAAGAACGGATGAGAATAAATTTATAGATAATTCACTTATAATTATTTTTTTTTATTAATTTTTTTTTATATTATATTTTTATATTAATTTACTTATACACATATACCTTGGAAAATTTTAGAAGGCAAAAGAAACATAAAAATTAGTATACAAAAATATTTAATTTTAAATTAAAGTTTAGTTACTGAACCATAATATAAGCTTCAATTGCTTGTAACTTGATAAATTAAATCGATTTAATTTTTCGTATATCAAGTTTTCTGTTCAGTAATTTCGTTTTTTCAAAAAATTTTGACACTCTGTATATTGACAAATAGTTTGAAAATAAATTTAATATTTATTTATTCATGTGAAATTTTGATTTATCGATGACATTTATTAAGATACAAGTACAGTGATGTTATAACTGACAAATAAATCCATATCGAATCGAAAGTTTTAATTAAGAATTTTCTTAGGAAAGATCAACAATAGCAACGCATCTTGAAAGATAGCAACGTAATTGAAAGATTATCGATCCCACGTACACGATACGAATAAATTTTTAGAATTTTCCGAGCCACGCCACAAAAATATTAAAAACTTTGATTTAAATTAACATTGACAAACTTGAGTATTTCTTAAGTCAGTGAAGTTTGACCGACTATCGGATCACTGTAGTTTCTACCGCATTTGGCGGTATACATATACTAGATTATCTCTATAATAGATACAATACGTCATTCAACGCTATTCTGATAAGTTAAAATTTTTTCATTTAGCGAAGTTATTTATTATTTATAAAAATTGTTACGTATCGTTTTTTTGATATTATTTTATTGAATCGAATTTTTGGTAAGCGAGTGTTAAAATAAATTGAAAATAACAATATCTATAAGAGGGAATAATTGAAAAATGCAAAATATTGCAATATATTTATGATTAATATAATAAAAGAACATATAATAAGAACGTATAAATTTCACATAGATAATAAATTCGGTTATAATTTGGATATTTCATGCTAAAAAAAAAATCTTAATTTAATGTTGAACCAATGAAAATCAATAATGAAAAAAAAAAAAAAATGAGTCATTGTGACGTATAATGTCGCGTTACATTATATAATTGTTGATAATAGGAACTGTTGTAATTGAGATTTTGAGGATACTCTATTAAGGCAACACGTGGGATGAACGAGGGAAACGCTCGCCGTGCTCAACGATGAGATCGATTTTAATAGTGGCATAAAATTTACATTTCGGTCGAACGATCGACAAAATTACCAAGCTTTTGAACCAGTTTTTGAAATAAAATCGAACGAAAATAAAGGATTTCCAATCAAAGTCGGTTCGTTTCCAACTATTAATCC